TCTCTTGGAAAAAACTTATCTGTGCAGACTGTGGCTGAAGTTGCCAAGGAAAGAATGAACTTTTGGAGCCACATGGGGGCAGCTGGCATTATCAGACAGCACAGTTGGCACTGCCAGTGACCCATTAGACACTGGGGCAGGACAGAAAGCCACTCACTCACTCCGTTCTTTGCTACAGCCTGTGAGCTGCCAATGTGTTTGCTTCCTCTTAAATGTTTCAAATGTCAATTTTATTGACACAAATAGAGAAAAGTATACAAATCGTAGGTGTACAGCTTCATAAATTTTTAGAGAGTGAACACACCCACAAAACCACGCTCCAGACCATGAAATGGAACCAAGACATCTCGTTTTCATCTCTTTGCTATAAAAATGTAGCTGTATCCATAAACTGCACATGAAATTGTCTCGTGTGTTTTTAAATATATGAATAGCATTGTCTTATACAGGGATTGTCTCATCAAAGGAAGTCAGACCATTTTTTGCCAATATTTTCACTGTGGTAAAATACACACAATATCAAATTTACCTTCTGAACCATTTTTAAGTGTACAGTTCAGTGGCATTAAGTACATCCACACTCCTTGCCGCTCCTCTTCGCCCCAGCCCTGGCAACCCCCATTCTACTTTCTGTCTCTATAATTTTGGCTACTCTGGGTACCTCGTTTAAGTGGAGTCGTATGGTATTTGTCTTTATGTGACTGGCTTATTTCGCTCTGCATAATGTCCTCCAGGTTCATCCATGGTGTGTCAGAATTTCCTTCCTTTTAAGGCTGAATAATATTCCAGACAATATTTTCAGATGTCCGGCTAGTCCCACAACCCACCCTCTGGTCTCACCCTCACTTCGCCCTCTGTAACAGCCCTGTCACCTACGCGGGAATGCCTCCCAGGATGGGGAGCGCCCACTCCCCCCCCCCCAAAGGGAGATAAGGAGTGGAAGCCCCTTCATGCAGCAAAACAAGGGTTGGTCCCGGCTGGAATGAAGACACCAAACTAACAGGACCTGCATTTCCGCCTAGAGACATGCAGGGGGAGAGGGGACAGAGGGTGATATTGACCCAACAATTTGCTGTCTATAAGTGTGTGTGTACACACGTGACCTCACTTAGCTCTTGCGTCCCTATGAACTCCATGAACACCTTGCAGACCTACAAGGCATGGTATAGAGATGCCATTCTTCTGTAGTCCACAAGAGTAGCCTCCAGAGCTATTGACCATTTCTTCCCCCGAACCTGTCCAGGGTCCTCAGGAATGGGTCTTGACTTGCATAGCAGGAAGGCCATGAGGAGAACCCACAGACTAGGAAAATATTGCAAAAAAGAAGGGAGAAAGTGAAACTCTCAGCCCCGGTGATGGGCCAGACCCTCTCCAGGTGTTGTATACACGTCGCCTCTTACACTCTAATTCTACACAAGGGTGCGGCAAGGGAGGTGATAGTGTTGGTGTCCCCACTTCCATCTGATGGCTGTGAGATTCAGAAGGTGCAAGTGTGTGCCTGAGGCCACACACACGTCAGAAACACGACTCGAGATTGAGATTCAGATGCAGGTGATCCGACCCCAAATCCATCGTGCTGTCTTCCCAGGGGACAGAGTGGGAGGGAAATCCTCTCCTCCTCTCCTCCCTCCCTAGGTGAGGCTGCCACAGGGCAGGACCCGGGAATTTTACAGGGAGAAGTAAAGGGTTATCAGTGCTGGAAGGAAGCCAGTGAGGGGACACTTTTCTGTGATTCAGAGATGGATCGTGGGTGCCCAGGCGTCATGATCTGCAGTTTGAAGCTGGTTGTGGCTTCTGCTTTGAGCCAAGGAGACTGAAGAGGCTCCAGAGAAGGTGAGTTGGAGCCAGCTCTGATCTAGACCTTGACTTTCACATCCTAGGTTTCCCAGGTGGCCCCCAACTCCGTATATGCTAGTCAGTCTTAGTGGTCATACTAGTCAGTCTTAGTTCTCAATTCTCATAATTTCATCATTAGGCAAAACTCCAGGATTCTTCCCTAAGTAGGATAATGAAGCAGACAGGTATTTGGAGCAAGAATCTCTGTAGACTAAAGAGTATGCTTTTGTTTGGAATATTCCTCATCTGCTCTATGCCAAATAAACTGAAAGAAAAGTAAACCCCCATCCATGCCCCTTAGTGGATCTGAGTTTTCACTGTTACAACTAAAGCTTTCCTGGGAACTTTGTTCAAATCCAAACATAATTCCTTGCATAATAATTCCATGCATAATTCCATGCATAATATGGAATTAATTCCATAATTCCAGAGAACCCACTGACTTGTCCTGACTCTTCCTCATCACCAGGGCCATGGGGCACAGTTGGAGCTGCCTTGTGTTACTTAACCAAGTTCTGAGGAGCTTGTAGGCTGGGGGCTCAAAGCATCTTCTGGTCTTGTAGAGACTGTTGCTCAAATATGAAGACAGGCAGAAGACTGTGCTTCCAGAACATAAAGTCTAGGGCATCTCAGGTGGATCATGGGCCATCTTGCAGGACTGGCTCATTACAAAACCACTGACGTAAGTCTAAGGAAAGCTAAGTCCACAGGTAAGCTCACATAGAAGCTCCCATCAACATTACTAACGACTCTGTATTACTAAAGCTGACGGGCACGTCTCAGACCTTATCTTTTTGAGCAATCAGCAGCATCAAACACAGATAATCATCCATTCAAAGAAAAACTTTATATAAATTAAGTTTAACAGAGTTTATTCGAGCAAAGAACAATTCATTAACCGGGCAGCACTCAGAATCAGCAGTGTGAGCAATGAGCTTCTGTAGACGAACATGGAAGCAAAGCATAGAAAGCATTCAATTGGCTGCAGTAGGCATCTGCCTTATTTGATTTGGCCACTGTCTGATACGTTGGCTGCTTATAACTGGCTGGAGCTTTGCTGTTTATGATTGGCTAAAACCTGGCCAGTTGTTACAAAAAAATACTC